TCCCTTACCAAACCTTTGAAGGAGCTCAACAAACGTACCGCTTAGAACTTCCTCTAGCTTTGCAGCACCAGAGGATGCAGAGAACTCGCTGAGAATTCTTTCAATCAGCTCTTTCGGATCCTTGGAGCTCGCTTCTTTTGTCAGGTCTAATGAAGGTGTTGCTGACTGCGCCAGATTTCGAAGAACCAGCCAAGTTGCCAGGCTGGCTTGATCCTTTGTGTCCGACTGAAGCAAGCATCTGCTTGACACTTGGCTTGGTGACAAAACATCGTCAATGGTCTGGCTGGAGACCAAAGGTTCCTCTTTGATAGAGGGAGAGGAACCAGACTTAACCGACGTAGGACGGTACAAGTCTTTAGGGTCTGCATTCTTAATTGCCCTAACGATGGAGACTGCCAGAGATCCTGCCAACAGCTCACTCTGGGCTTTTACAGCTTCAATGAGCTGGTTTTCGGATCCGATTCTCCGAAGAACCTCTGCATACACAGTATCAATGATGGAGCGGTGAAGTTTTTTGAGAGCATGTTCTCCATCTTCTACTGTGACAGCAGTAAAAAGGGCTAAAATTCCTTTGACTGTGTCCGTAACATTCTGGACCTGGTCCTCATCAATTAAGAGAGGAGATCCATGAACCCCAGTGGATGACATCTCCTGTACTTTGTGTAATATTGCACGTATGCAACAATGGAGAGCATCCACGGAAATGGTTGGAGGAGATGTCTTGAGTTTTTCAGAGCTGTGTGAGTCACTTTCAGGTGTCTCTTCAGCATTTGAATCCACAGCATTCAACTCATGATCAGACAGTGCCGACACTTTGTCCATCACGCTGTTCACAATTACTTTGGACAACAGATCCATTGTGTCAGCAAACACCTCAGATGGGGGTCTTGAGATCTCAAAACTCTCAGGAGTGACTCTGAAGGGCATGACCAGACTTGGAATGTCTTTAGCAGTGGTAGAAGCTGGTCGAGGGGCCATGCAAGACATGAGCAAACATTTTACCGACTCGTCTGCGAATTCGACAAGAAACTCAGAAGCAAAGGACCGTTGTAGGTCAGTGTGTTTCTGCCGTCTTCTCGTGCCAAGAACAGACTCTGACATGTTCAGAGAAGTTAATCTGTCCATCAGTATGAGCTGCACCATTTTGGCGAACTCCTGAGGGGCTGCGGTGGAAAACAGGTCCTCCACTCTTTTTGCTGCTGCAGCTAACTCCTCAAGAGAGTTAAAAGCACCTGAGCTCTGCAAACCCAGGGAGGCCATCATGGTGCCCAGTAAAGAGGCCATTGAAACTCTCTCTCTGCTCTTGGGTGGCTCATGTTCATCCATCACTAATGGTCTTTGAAGGTGTGATATCTTACCTCTACCCTTAGATGACTCAGGAGTAGGGGTCCCAGGAAGTAAAACAGTGTGCTCAGATGACACAATATGACGAGATCTGTCTGGATCTAAAGAAAGTTTGTCCATGTTTGGTTCCTCTGAGCTGCGATCATTTGACAACAACAAGCCAAGGTGGTCTTTATTTGCCAGAAATGTCTTGTCAACAGTTCCCCCAACACTGATCTCTGAAAGATCGACCTTAGGTGCTTTCTGCTGATACTTTGCAGAAAAATCCCTTAGGTGTCTCATCGCACTGTTGTAAGTAGTACACGCAGTGTACCACAGAATCCCTTCAGAGGCGTCAACACCTGATTCCATCCAATCCAAAGGTTCAGAACGTGTTTCTTTCAAACCATCGGATAATATCGTGGAATCCAGATGTTCACAAATTCCATCAATGACAGAATCGACGAGGTCGAATGCCTTGACCAAACATTCAGACGGAGTTGGTTCCACACTGCAATCTCTTTGGCTTACAAGGAAGCTTGAAGACTTGAGTAAGATTTTACTCACTTCCTGAGCTGCCTTGGTCCGTGTATCCTCATGCTGGATTTTTTGGAAGCTCTTAGCTGAGAAGCTTTGAAGGAAAGAAGGTACCTGACGATCCAGAGCAGTGGCAGGTATGCCGTCTCCAAAGGATGGACCTGAGACCTCTTGAATGTAAGCCATTAAATGGTCTACAAGCAACTCAGACATGAGAGATGTATCAGAGGAACATTGTCCAAGTACTGACTGATCATCCTCAGATACCTCAGACTTTGTAAATGAGTCCAGTTGGACTAACAGCTCATCCACAAAGATTTTGGCATATAAGGACGCGTTCCTCAGAGTTTGTCCAGGAACGGAAGTCTCCATCTTGCAAGCCATATTTGACAGTTTCATAAGGCTGGGAATTCTGTGAAAGGACTTAGCTCTTTTAGGTGCTTTATCAGCCATGCTTTTGCTTGCACCACAGGCTGAATCAGAGCTGATATCGTCACTGATCGGTGAACTCTGAGAGGATGTTGTTGTGTCACCCAGCTCGGATAGTAAACATTCAACAAAATCCGTGACGCTCATCTTTGGAGGGCAAGACAAATCTGACGCACTCTTGAGTTCTTTGGCTTGATAGATGGAGCAGACCTCAAGAATGACATCTTTTGCACATTCACGAAGTTGTGCCTGATCTTTGGACGTCAGATTCTTAGCGCTGGGCTCAACAGACCCACATGAAGATGCCAGGAGCTGGTCTGTCACATTTCTACGAAGCTCAAGCATGTGAGAATCTTTCTTTGCATCAAGAGTGTCAATGACGGTCTTCACAATGGCATTCATAACTTCTTTGGTGACTGACACCAAAGAATGGTTTGAGGATCCTGGTCTCTTAAGGAAAAGCGACCTGGCATCCATATTTAGAACTTCACAAAGCTTCGGAATGACGACCTTCTGTGATGCTGTGGTCAGAATCTTCTCAATGTTTGTGTTCATTCTGGTGATTTTTTCCCTCGTGAACTACAAGCAAAAGAACATATTCACAGTATAAGTCATCACTAGCATTGTCTTACAGGGTTCATCTGCTGTGATTTCACAATAATCATATTACAATAAAAATATGATTTAATTGTATTTGAATTATAAAACTCACCATTTGATGCATTCCGCCTAGCATCACTTGTAGTTGCCTGAAAGATGAAAAAAATGCAGAACAGCCATTTAGTGCTAATGTAACAGAGACAGCGACTTTTGCACTAAAATGATCATAAATGTCAACAAATTCATCATTATTGAGTCTTGTATATTTAATAACCCTAGAGGGAAACATCATGTCTGTTAGCTTGTTTCATCACATTTTATTGGCTACCAGCTGCTAAAGAATCGGGATTAACCAATCAGGATTCAGATCTGTTACCATCACATGAATAATTTGAAAGCTAACCCGCTAGCAACACAGCTGTAATGGAACATAAGCCATAATAAATGCTGTATGTTTTTTTATTCCTTATGCATTGTAATGTTATTCATATGTATATTTCATATTTGTGTACTTGTATATACATTTGTACACTGTGCTGGATATTTGTATATTTGTATTCAATACTGTACATTTGAGTAATTCCTGGCTGCACCACTCAATGCTGAGTACATACCGATCAGTCAGGCTCTGTAGGAAACGGGAGACGTCCTGAGACTTAGCAGAGTCACAAGGCTCCGAGAGAGAACCTGCTGCTGCATTACGAAGAGCTTTCTCCGCCATGTTAGACTCTCCTGAGATATTAAAACACAGAAAAAACAAGAAATCAGGGAACTGAAATACAGGTAAACCTACCAGATTACACCGTTACACAGAGTTACCAACTTCATCCCACAGCAGCCTTTGGTTTGGTATGACACTCAAACGTTAAAGTGTTTCCACCATTTCTCCTGCTAACGAAATAGCATTCTCCACAAGGGGGCGCGACTAGCAATGCGTGCGTTATAGTAGTTTAGCAATCATTATGAATATGTCACTGTCTAAACAATCAAGCATAATTAAAACAATTTTTTTATCTTTATTAAAAATTTTTATTTTATAACAGAATTTTTTAAAATCTATTGGTATTATTTTGGAAGATACGTTGAAATTGAGTATTTGTACTTTTACTCAATAACAACAGTAAGAGAAAACAATTTCAATAAGAGTAACAATTTTACTCCTCTCATTGTCATTTAGACCTTCAAAGTACTCATAGTACTTGTACACACAGTACTAGTAGCCTAGTAATAACAACATCAATAAAAATTACAACAATACTAATAATAACTGATAATTGATTGTATAAAACAGAATAACCAGCATAAATGAGAGAGAGAGAGAGAGAGAGAGAGACAGAGAGAGGGAGAACATAGAAAGAGAGAAAGAACAGAGAGAGAGAGAGAAAGAACAGAGAAAGAGAGAGGAGAGAGAGAGCGAGAGAGATAGAATGGGAGAGAGAGAGAGCGAGAGAGAATCGGAGAGAGAGAGCGAGAGAGATAGAATGGGAGAGAGAGAGAGAGACAGAGAGAGGGAGAACATAGAAAGAGAGAAAGAACAGAGAGAGAGAGAGAAAGAACAGAGAAAGAGAGAGGAGAGAGCGAGAGAGATAGAATGGGAGAGAGAGAGCGAGAGAGATAGAATGGGAGAGAGACAGAGAGAGAGAGAGAGAGAGACAGAATGGAAAAGAGAATGGGAGAGAGAGCGAGAGAGATAGAATGAGAGAGAGAGAGAATCAGAGAGAGAGAGCGAGAGAGAGAACGGGAGAGAGAGAGCGAGAGAGATAGAATGAGAGAGAGAGAATCGGAGAGAGAGAGCGAGAGAGATAGAATGAGAGAGAGAGAATCGGAGAGAGAGAGCGAGAGATAGAATGGGAGAGAGAAAGAGGGCATATATATTCTGGTTCTTTTTCTCAACTTTTTTTCTCTATGCTGGTTCTTTTTCTCTTTTTTGGTTCTTTTTCTCTATTTTGGTTCTTTATCTCTGTTTTGGTTCTTTTTCTCTATTTTGGTTGTTTATCTATATTCTGGTTCTTTATCTCTTAGTTTAATGTCCTGATTTGGTTCTTCAGGTGTAAATAAGTTGAAACTGTACTCACCTTTTATCTGGTTGTGTACGGGAGAAGATCCGCGCTGTTCTGTCTGAGAATACTTTGGGTTCTGGATAAACGACGTCGCACATCCGAACTCTATGAGGTCAACAAACCGACTGAACACGAGGCTGAAAAGTCCCGCTATTTATAAGAAGGCCCCGCCCCTTTGTGACGTCACAGACGCTGCTCGGTTACTATGGAAACCAGACTCTACTCTACGCACGCACGCACACACACACACACACACATACATATATATATATATATATATGTATGTGTGTGTGTGTGTGCGCGTGCCTATGTGTTTGTATAAACCCCATTAAATAAAACCCGTAGTTTTTATTGATCATCTCTAAGCCGTTCGGCGATGTTTATCGGTGCTGGTTGGAGTTTATTGCTGTTCACTGCTGAGAGTTTCAGCGGGGCGAACGGGCGCGTTCTCTTTTTAGCTCCGTCTCAAATCGCTCCCTACTCCCTACCCAGACAACAAATGTACACTGCGCCAAATGTAGCGCTGCACCCGGTCCAGATCCGCAACAGCCCGGTGTCTTTTTGCACAACGGCCCAATACCGGAACTGATCTGTTTTACGGATCTGCGCCAAAACAGATTAAAAACTGTCCCAGATGAGCAAAGAACAGCGTTACATCTGGCCCTGAATTGGTGCAGGTCTGAATTTTATCTTCATATCTGGCCCAAATGTGGCACAGACCCAGTTCAGAAGAGGTCCAAGCTCAAATTGATATAAGCAGCTGTCTCTGGAACGGATCCGGCCCTGACTTGTTGCATCTGCACCGGATCCGTTCCAGAGTCAACAACAGCTCCATATCCCACATAATTATTCACAAATCATTAATAATGCATATTTTCAAAAAACTGTAAATTCAAAAAAGGAAACATAAAACCAAATACCTCAAAAAAGGTTTATTGAATGTCATTATGTTTTCAACACAGCATTTTTTTGAAAAATGAATTCAAACAAGAAAAAATACAATGCCAGTACTGAGGTGTAGACTTATCAGCAAAAAATCCTGCCATTAAAGAAGCGATAATTAGCTGCTTTGTAATAAACTGACGTAAAAAACAGACTTTAACACTGATAGAGACTGATAAACTCTGCTCATGTCATCACAATAATTAAGGGTAACTGGCAATCTGAATACTAAATACTACCATGCTGAGTTTTACAATGTCAAATTAAGAAGCAATGACTGGTGCTGCAGCAAGAAAGCAAGAACCAAAAAAAAAAAAAGAAAACAATGCTCTTAACAGTTTTCGTCTATCCAACATATTAATAACTTTATTTAAAACAGGGCTGTCACTATCGATTATTTTAGTAATTGAATAATCTAGCGATTTCTCCTAGATTTAATCTAGATTTTTTGATGTACACTGAAATTGTAATAGCCATTACAATTACAACACTGAAAATACATGATAAGAATGAGTCTGCTGCCAGGGGAGTACTGGCACTACTGTGCCATTAAGAGTCCGACCAAGTCATTGGTTGGCCCACATCAGCCAATATTTGCAGCCCACAGTTTTATTGGGGTCATGACCTTGTAAAGGGTGGGTGAAACCTTAGAAGAAGAATGTTCACCCTATAGCAGACATGGAGGAAGTTGGATATAAAGAAGTGGTGAAAGAGGTTGGTTACAGAGGAAAACAACAGAGGCCAGTCTAGATAAAGTGGCTAAAAAAAAGGGCGTGAAAGAGGCTGGCCCTGGCAGAGAGATGTAGAAGGCTGACCCTTGCAGACAGGTGTAGGAGGCTTGCCCTGGCAGAGAGGTGTAGGAGGCTGACCCTTGTGGACAGGTGTAGGAGGCTGGCCCTGGTGGGGAGAGGTGTAGGAGGCTGGCCCTGGCGGAGAGGTGTAGGAAGCTGACCCTGGCGGGGAGAGGTGTAGGAAGCTGACCCTGGCGGGGAGAGGTGTAGGAAGCTGGCCCTGGCGGGGAGAGGTGTAGGAAGCTGGCCCTGGCGGAGAGGTGTAGGAAGCTGGCCCTGGCGGAGAGGTGTAGGAGGCTGGCCCTGGCGGGGAGAGGTGTAGGAGGCTGACTGGCCCTGGCGGAGAGGTGTAGGAGGCTGGCCCTGGCGGAGAGGTGTAGGAAGCTGGCCCTGGCGGAGAGGTGTAGGAGGCTGGCCCTGGCGGAGAGGTGTAGGAAGCTGGCCCTGGCGAAGAGGTGTAGGAGGCTGGTCCTGGTGGAGAGGTGTCGGAGGCTGGCCCTGGCGGGGAGAGGTGTAGGAAGCTGGCCCTGGCGGGGAGAGGTGTAGGAGACTGGCCCTGGTGGGGAGAGGTGTAGGAGACTGGCCCTGGCGGAGAGGTGTAGGAGACTGGCCCTGGCGGAGAGGTGTAGGAGACTGGCCCTGGCGGGGAGAGGTGTAGGAGACTGGCCCTGGCGGAGAGGTGTAGGAGACTGGCCCTGGCGGAGAGGTGTAGGAGACTGGCCCTGGCGGGAGAGGTGTAGGAGACTGCCCCTGGCGGAGAGGTGTAGGAGGCTGGCCCTGGTGGGGAGAGGTGTAGGAGACTGGCCCTGGCGGAGAGGTGTAGGAGACTGGCCCTGGCGGAGAGGTGTAGGAGACTGCCCCTGGCGGAGAGGTGTAGGAGACTGGCCCTGGCGGAGAGGTGTAGGAGACTGGCCCTGGCGGAGAGGTGTAGGAGACTGGCCCTGGCGGGAGAGGTGTAGGAGACTGGCCCTGGCGGAGAGGTGTAGGAGGCTGCCCCTGGCGGAGAGGTGTAGGAGACTGCCCCTGGCGGAGAGGCAAAATTTGTTTTTAACTTAAAGACAATCAAAGAGAAGACGCTAACGGTAATTTGTTTTAACAGAACTAAAATTGTGTGTACTCTTCTACCATTAAGCTTATTTGATTGTCAAATTGAATAAAATATTTAAAAATAAATGTAATAATTTAAACAAATGTAATAATTTGTGATACCTGATCACATATGTGCAGATATCAAAAGTAATGATTAACTTACCTCAAAGTCGGCAGCAAACTTTACAGGCCAATATCAACGGATGACTGTAGACCGCTGAGCAGGAAAAAAGAAAGGGGAATGTTTTTTAATTAGGCGCGTCCGTTTATGTATCGGGCCTTGGCCTGAGCCCGGTAAGAGTTACCGAGCTACCGCAGTAACGGCCCATAATGACGGTAAAACGCGTTCTTTTATTGGTTTATTTAATGCAAACCAGAGCGTGAAACAGTATTCCGACACGTCGACATGACCGAGCTGCGGTAGTTAAACGCGCTCGGTGCTGCAGGCAGCTGCATGTATGTTTAAAAAAACCGGCTGCGTTACTGTGACCGTTTTAGGACCACCTCAGACCACCACGGCCATGTCTCAGCTTTCACACAATCAGGCTACACACACCACATCGGACGGTGAAGTTCGTGTGACATTCGCAATTACGTTCTGTCTTATTGGATTAATTACACTTTCATGGCCAAATTAAAGATGACAAACACAACAAACCCAGTTTGTACTGAACCGCGCTGTTCTTTTCTTGTTCTTTTCTCTATTCTTTTATTTTTGCCAAAAGGTTCAACTCACGCTATCACTGCGCTTGTCCGCGTCTGCTTCAGAGTCAGAGACCGTCTCAAAATTACAAGACGAAAAAAGTGAAGCTATTATTATTATTATTACTAGTAGTAGTAGCTTTAGCATCTCTGTAAATAGCTCTGCTGAGGCTTCTGAACATATCAGCAGATGTACATACAGAGACAATAATAATAACGCTAGTAATGATAGCAGAAACACTTTCTTTTCGCAATTTTGAGAATTTTGAAACTGACCCTGAGTCTGAAGCGGCCGCGGGAGCAGCAGTGTGGGAGCTGAAGCTTCGTCTAATAAAAGATTAAGCAAAGGGAAGCCCGTTCTGTTTCTGAGGGGTATTTCACACACTTTTAACCAAATACGAGGACTGTGTTACTGGTATATATGTTATTGCAGCAGTTTCAAGAAAAAAAAATAATTAAAAGTAACGTTAACCTACCATTTCTTTAAGTAAAAAATAGTAAAATCCGACACTACAAAAAAGCAAATAAAAATAAGATGGTTAAACTAACCTTACTGCTTACACAGGCTAATACAGCTTAGCTAGCTAACGTTAGCTCGCTAGCTCCACACCACAATATAGGATAACTATAGATTCCAGCTAATGGATGTTTCTTACATTAGTCACTCATTCACCTCTCTGTTTTCTTTAGACTTGTTTTTCTCCTAAAACAGGCAGAAATATTAAAGCTGCTCTTAGAACATTTTCACATTTTCCAATGAACGCTAACAGCTGCCGCTCACAGTACAACCCGGCTAAGCTAGCTGGTTACACAGCCGGCCGAGGGAGATCACATAAGATTAAGAGTGTGTCGTTATTAAACATAATTAAAGAGAAATCTCGAATGTTAATTTAGGCTGGAATTAGACATTTTGACTCACTACCTCAGCTAAAATTACTAGGTTAGCTAGTGCTGACGTCCTCCCCTCCAGGGACTCCACCACTCAGCTTATCTGCTTGTCAAACTGAATAACATATTAAAAGTTAAACGATAAAACCCAAGATACCTGATCGTAATTCTAATAAATGTGCAAATATTTAAAATACAAAATACACCTTACCAAAAAGCAGCAGCAAGTTTTACAGTCAAAGTCAACTGACCAATGCAGAGAACTGAGGGGGAAAAAGGGGAGGGGCAAATTTTAAATAAGGCGCAAATTTTAAATGAGGCGCGTCTGTTTTAAAGATCCGGCCCCAACGCGCTCTGAGTCCGCTGACCGGCAGTGTATCTAGTGCTGTTAACAGTTACTTGGCCCAAATGTGGCACAAGTCCGCAATGCAGATGCGACTGCTAGGAGGACTTTGTGACGGCCAAGGTAATCCGGCCCGAACGTGCTTGCTGTCTGGGTATCTGGTGCACTAAGTAGCTCTTATAAAAGCTAATAGCTTCTACATCCAAACAAGGCGCTGTAAATATAATAGAGTCATTTGGAATTCAGCCACAGGCTGCACGACTTCTCACTGGACATGTAATTCACTATTTTGGTGTAGATGCCATCGTCTGACCTGCACTACAAAGAGAGCCTGGAGCCGTTATTATCACGCTTTTAGGCAGCTTAGTTCACTATTAGCATAATGAGCTACATTACCGACTTAGTAAAGCGTGGGAATGTCCTAATGTCCTAATGCATGGCCACGACTTAGTAAGCCGTGATTTCGTTCCCACGCCTTGCTAAGTTGTGGCCACGCATTAGGATCTCGTTCCCACGCATTATTTTTATTTATACAAGATGTCACCAGCGGGGCTCCGTAGGGGGCTTTCACTGTGAGATGATTTTCTTTTCTAACTCTGCGTTTTAAAAATCTCAGACGCTGCAGACTCGATCTCCACCGTCCCTCTGATTACCTTCGTGTACGGAGCCCCGCTGGTGACATCCTGTATAAATAAAAATAATGCGACTTAGGAAGGCGTGGGAATGAGATGATTAAGTCCTGGCCACGACTTAGTAAAGCGTGGGAACGAGATCACGGCTTACTAAGTCTCATTCCCACGCCTTATTAAGTCGTGGCCACGCATTATCTTTTATTGATACAGGATGTCACCAGCGGGGCTCCGTATTCGTGTGTTAATGTTGATGATGAAATATTACAGTGATGGTGGTGAATAATGAGGAGACGGAGCTGAACGTGTGTCTGTTTATTAGGAGGAGTAATGTTAGCGCTGCTGATGCTGCATAAATTCTTTAATACAAATTCTTAGCATCAGCAAATTACTCAGCTAATAAGTGCGAGGCTGAAGCTTCTTATTCGCCAGCTTCTGTTTATAATTTCCCCGTTCCACCTTAAATGGTGCAGCAGTTACACTCTGGTGCCTGAGGCGAGTCTGAGGGCGCAGAATGCAACTGTTGTACTATTTAAGGTGGAACGGGGAAATTTAAGTAAGAAGCTGACTTTAGCCTTGTTTACTCAGTCAAGAGAGCTAACGTTAGCTTAGCATTAGCAAATTACTTAGCTAATAAGTGCAAGGCTGAAGCCAGCTTCTGTTTATAATTTCCCGTTCCACCTTAAATGGTCTGGCAGTTACAGTCTGGTGCCTGAGGTGAGTCTGATGTGCCGGAATGTAACCGTTGTACTATTTAAGGTGGAACGGGGAAATTTAAGTAAGAAGATGACTTTAGCCTTGTTTACTCAGTTTAGTCAGTCAGGAGAGCTAACGTTAGCTTAGCCTTAGCAAATGACCTCAGCTAATAAGTGCGAGGCTGAAGCCAGCTTCTGTTTATAATTTCTC